ATTCAGTTCCTTTTTTCTTCTCGCATCTTTTTTGAATAGCTCTTCTATTTTCGGAGAGGAAAGGGAGTATGTCGAAGAGAAGTCGTTGCAGCAAGGAGGAACTTGAAAGTCTTTCTTCCCCTGTTTATTTCACTTAAAAGCAAAAACTGTTTTCCAAGGGAGAGCGAGGTTTCTGTGCAGAGCCTTTGAAGCGAGGCTGGGACGGTGGCGGGGCTGGCCGGGCTGGGATTTCTCCCTGCTCCTCGCCGCCCCACAAACACCCTCGGTCCCAAACTCCCGGCCAGCGCCCAGAGCCCCGGGAAGCACGAGGGGGTCTGCGGGCCGGTGCTGCTTCGGCTGGGGTGGGGGTGCTGGTGCTGCGAGGGGGGGCCAGGCAGGAGCAGCCCCTCTCCTTTGGCTCCAGCCGGGCTCGCCCTGCCTCTTCAGCCACCCATTGCTTGTGTTTAATGGGTGTTTCTGGCGCCGGCGCTCCCGTGCGAGCGGGCGGCAGCGTTTTCAGACGGGACGGGACGGGATCTGGAGGCAGGACCCCGGGAGCTCTGCTGCGGCGCCTGTCCCTGCGCGGGGGCTGGACGGGGACCGAGGGGCCGCGCTTGTGCCGTCGGGAAGGGGAAACGTTGTGCTCGCACAAGTAGCCCACGGGAAAGCGCGGGACGCGCCGGAGCGCTGCGCCGGGACCCGGAGCCGGGGCGCGGGGTGGCCCTTGGCCACGGGGAGTCTCTCAGGTCTGATGGACACGGGGCTCCGGGGGTGGCCGGTCGGGGCCCTTCCACGGCAGCAGAGCAGGAAGGGTCCTGTGCACGTCCACGGGGCCACCGCAATTCCGGCTGGGTCTCAGGGAAACGTCCTCGCTCGGCTGGTCCCGGAGCCGCTGCTCCCCAGGCGCCGTTCTGTGCCGCCAGCCGAGCCCTCCTAGCACCTCGGGCGTCTTGCCGCCAGAAGAGCTGCCTAGGGCTGATAAATCAGGCTTGGAGCTCGATCGGTTTGGTCTTCTAAAGAAGAGGCGGTGTTGTGCTGAGTAGCAGAGCGAGGGGAGTTCCTCCGGGAAGGCGGATGTGGGGGGCGAGGAGAATCCCCCTCCCCAAGCTCTGCTCCAGGCACCGGCCGTCAGCGGGGTCCGGTGCGGCTTCGGCTGCTCGAGGAGCAAAGGCTCTTGCGAGCCCTCGGCAGAAGCGGAGCCTGGCTCCGGCATTTGCTCTGGCTCGGCCGCTCTCTGCACAGCAGTTTTTCTCAGGAGCTTCCCGTGGTCCGGGGAGGCACTGGTGGGGATGAATCTGCTCCGGTGGGCTCCCCGCTGCGCGGCGGACCACAAAACGGGGGTCCCCTGGGAGTGACCCTGTGCTGCCAAGTCAGACCCAGGCCTCCCCGGCTCCTTCCTACCGTCCCCCAGACCCCGGAGGAGCGCGTCCTCCCCGGGCAGCCCTTGTCCTTCCCCCACCCCCATGGCCAAACTGATGCGATTCGACTCTGATTTTCAGAAAGCATCCTTTCCCCGTTCATTTTAGTCTCCCCTGGTTGCTTTGCAATAAAGTCGAAGGTGAGTGTTGATCTGAGGCCCACGACCAGGCGTGGGGCTGGAGCCACCGAGGGGCTGGGGGACGGGGCTCAGGACCGGCGGGTGATCGCCCAGCACCCGGCAGCCGGGTCCCGCCGTGGAACGCGAGGCTGAGAGCGGGTGCGTGCCCGGGGCTGCGTCTCTCCTGGGAAAACAGCGGTTCTGGGTGAACGGCGTCTGCATGGGAAATCCGGCAAAGCGGGGACCCCTCGCACCACGGCCCCGACGGTGAAATGCGGGGAGGTGAGCCCCGCGGGCGGCTCACAGGGGGTCTGGTTGCCCGATCCTGAGCGTCTCGTAGTGCGAGAGGAGAATTCTGCTTCCCCTTTGCTTGAAGGGCTCTGGGGGGAGGTTGGAAGGGCCGTGCCGAGGCACGGGAACGTTCCCGTCCTCTGGCAGGGGTGCCCACTGGGGGCTCAGGCGTGGGCAGGAGTCCTGAGCCGTGCGGGTGGGCTGCACGAGGAGTGGGAGTGGAGCTGGTGGCACGGCAGTTAATGAAGTAGATAATTTTTTTTAAAGTGAGATTCAAATAATTGTAACCCCGAGATAGAGAAGACATTGGAGGAGATGAAAAGGGAGAGAGAAAGAAAGGAAGCAAAGGACAGAGGTTTGGAATAGAGAGGGAGATTAGGAGATAGATGAAAGAGAAAGGAGAAAGATAAGAGGGAGAGAGGGGACAGATCTCCAGCGAGAGATGGGCGTTGCCAGGGAAACGGGAAGAATGAGGGAGCGACAGAGGGATGGAGGAGCGGAGGATGCTGGGGGCGGGGAGCGACGGCGGAGGGAGGGATGGAGGCTCGGGCTGGGGAGGAGGAGGAGGAGGACAGCGGGTTCTCAGCAGGAAGGGAGGCGGGAGCGGGATGTCCCGGCTCGGCTCGGCTGCCCGTCGGCTGGGAAGCCGCGGCAGCATTTGGGATCGCGGCTCCGTCCCTCCGCGGTGGACGGCTGCGGCATCCGCTGCTGCCCGCGGGCTGACCCCCCTCGCCCCACGCTTCCACCCGCCAAACCGTTCTGTGCCCAGGGCAGGGAGGTTTTCCGCAGGCACGGGGCAGCACGCTGCCCCCAGCCCGAGCCCGGCGCGTGCATCGTGGGGAGGGCTGGCGGGGGGCAGGAGGGGGTCCGACCTGGCCGGGAGAGCCCTCGCCCGCGCTCGGCCCCGAGGTTTATATTCCACTTCCAGGCGCAGGTGCTGCATTTCCGAGGTGAGAGCGGGGAGCCTGTGACGGCGCGGCCGAGAGGGCAGAGCTGCGACCCGCACCGAGGCGCGGAGCGGTGCCCGACTCCCCGTCCCGCGGAGCCAAGGGTCCCCCGCGGGAACCGGGTGCCAGGCGGGGATAAATCCCCCTCCCAAAAAACAGCCCGGCCTCGGCCTCGGCCTCGGCGGCGGCTGCGCGTGGCGCCGGGAAAAGAAACATTCCTTTTCCCCTTCCAGATGTTGCCAGTAACCTGGTGGCTACAGACACAAATATTTCCTTCTCACCCATATAACTGTTGGGGTAATAATCACTAAAAGGAACATGAACAGATCTACCGGGGAAGGGTTTAGCATGACCGGACAAAGCAGGTCCTGCTCACTTCCCGAGACGTTGTCTGTCACACAGACCCAAAGCCGTCATTTTCCCCAACTTGTCCTCCCTCCTAATCCCACTAAAAACCACTATCGGTGTCACGCTGCAAATTGTAGGTTGTGTCCGTTGATTTTTATTTTTTTAATGCAAGCCCCCAAAGATGATAATTCCCCTGCCCAGAACCACTGCACGCGATATAATGTACGTCTTTCCTTGTCAGGAAGCACATCCAAGGCTGAAGGCAGCAGTTCTGCTTTCTAATCAGCTTACAATAAGTAGGTTTTTATTTTTTTCTAGAGAAGACATTAACAAAAGTTTTCCTTTAAAAAATAGAGTTAGGTAGTATCTAACACGGGGACACTGATTTAACGAATTTAAAAATTGTTTCGATTTCTTCCAAGGTGCGGGGCTGGGTTGGTTGCAGGAACTCAGCACCACGCGTCCTCCCCCCGCGGTTTCCCAGACCTTCGCCCCGCTATGTAAAGTCCAGTTTATCTGCGCCGGCTGCCAGTTTTGAGGCGAGAAGCGGTGTTTTCGGTTGCCCCGTGTTTGGGCCCGGCTGCGGTGTCGGGTGGCTCGTCCCCCGCTCAGCCCCAGCTCCACATTTAGCGAGACGGAGGCGAACCCGTCGGCGCTCAGGCCTGGAGCAGCACAAACGCTCTGGATCAGTTTTACGAATAATTTGAGTTGTTTGTTGTGATTTTCAGGGAAAACGGTTTTTCTGTTTAGAATTTTTGTGGGTGCATTGAGCAGCTTTGTGTGAGAACCACAAGAAAGATGAAAGGCTGATTTTTCCTTTATTAAATTTAAATGAAAGCTCCTTTTAAGAAAGGAAGAAAAATAAAATCAACGGTGTTCTCACAAATATTACCTGTTGATCAGCCATTTTCCGTTAAAAGTTGTGGAAAAGCTTTAACGCCTCCTCCCCCTACACGCCCACCCCCACGTGCCCAACTTCACCCGATTTATGCTCGGGCTCGGCCCCAGCGCCCCGGGAGCTTTGCAGGGTGCTTCCACGGGGGACAGCCTGCGACCCCCCCGGGGCACCGTGGCAGGGGGGCTCTGCAGGGGGTCCCGCAATGGGGGTCTTGCAACGGGGGTCTCGCAGTGGGGGTCCCACAATGGGGATCCCTCAGTGGGGGTCCCTCAGCGAGGGTCCCGCAATGGGGGTCCCACCATGAGGGTCCTGTAATGGGGGTCCCTCAGTGGGGGTCCCTCAGCAGTGGTCCCGCAATGGGGGTCCCACAATGAGGGTCCCTCAGTGGGGGTCCCACAATGGGGGTCCGGCAATGGGGGTCCCGCAGTGGGGGTCCCGCAACGGGGGTCCTGCAGTGGGGGTCCTGCATCGGGGGTCCCGCAACGGGGGTCCTGCATCAGGGGTCCCGCAATGGGGGTCCTGCATCGGGGGTCCTGCATCGGGGGTCCCGCAACGGGGGTCCTGCATCGGGGGTCCTGCATCGGGGGTCCTGCATCGGGGGTCCCGCAATGGGGGTCCTGCATCGGGGGTCCTGCACCGGGGGTCCTGCATCGGGGGTCCTACAAAGGGGTGTGGCAGCTGCCCAGCCCTGAGCGCACCTTCCACGGGGAGGGAGCCGCTGGGGTGGGGGTGCGGGGGGTGCGGGCGGCGGGTTGGACCTGCCACCGCGCAGGTTTCCAGCCGAGCAGCTTTGGGGGGGGGGGGTTTGCTCAGGGAGTGGGGCCTGGTACAAAACAAGGATCTGGGCTGTAGTTAATACCTCAGCGGAGGTGCTGAGCGGGGCGGGGGGGCTGCCGTCCCTCGCAGGGCACCTGCAGTGGGGCTTTGGCCAGGACGGGGTTTTGTGGGAGCAGGGGGCCCTTTGACTGGGGTGCCCCCCGTCAGAGCCGGGGTGTTGTGAGCAAACACAAGCTTCAGGCTGCTCAGCTGAGGAATTGCCAGGACTGTCATGTCCAGAGCTGCTGCGTTGGTGTCTGCGGCGGCTCAGCTGCAGCCGGTGCTGGTGGAGGGGATGGTGGTGCACGACTGTGGGTGAAACCGAGGGAGTTAAAGCCGAGCCAGGAAGGGAAGAGTGCCCAGATAGCGATGGCTTTTAGACTGGTGCAGTGGCTGGAAAACCTGGAACACAGCAAGAAAGGTGCAGGGGGATGAAGGGGCTGTTGGGCAAAATGCTGCTGCAGGGGGGACCCGTCTGGTGTGAGCGGCCCCCGGTGAGAGTTGGGTGGCTAAAGATGAAGCATGAGAGGTAAATAGAAGTAGAATTACATAAGGAAGCAAAAACTATGTAAAAAAAAAAGTGCCTAAAGACTGGGAGGTGAGTGAGGAGCCGGTGGAGGCTCTGAGGAGGGTGGACAGGAGCTGCAGGGATGTGCCAGGGCAGAGCCTGACTCTCCCCAGCTGTGCTGAGAGAGGCAGGAGGAGAAGAGAGATTGCACCGAGACAAAAACCTCCCAGGAGTGGGAGGAGAAATGCTGAAAGAAACCCGAATTTCACAACCCCGGAGGAGCAGGGACGGGAGCCGCCGGCCCCGGGTGCGTCCTTCCCACGAGCGTCGGAGCGAGGAGATGCCGGGGAGCGGGACCGGGAGCCCAGGGGACACCAGCAAGAGCATTTGTGTGACTCCCCGTGCGGGAGGGTGAGCGTGTCCGTCGGCAAACGAGCCGGAGAGCACCCAAACCTGGGCTAAGGGTGTCGGTTTCAACCTGGAGGTGGGTTCAGTTACCAGCTACGTGGGCTGAGTTTGGGCAAAAAGCTGCCAGGTACAGCCGTGGGAAGGATCTGGAGTCTAGAGCTGGGGGAGAGGAGGAGGAGATGCTCTCGTGTTGCTACTGAGATCGATATTAAGACGCGTTTAATTTATTCTGTGGTTTTCTGATCTGAGAGGTGGGACGGAGGGGTGAGCTGAACATACGAAGCAATAGGTGGGAGAGGGGATTAGGGAGGTGAGGGTGGAAGGGCGTAAAGGTGACGGATGGAGCGGGTCCCCGTCCCAGCAGAGAGACACGGCACCCGGCGGAAGGGCCTGTCCCCTGGGGCGGGGGGCAGCCGGCTGCGGAAATGGTCTGGTACCGCAAAACCTGGAGCATTTAAAAAAAATCAGTACCCGCAGCACGACGGCGCGTCTGCCTTTTGCCAGTGACGCGGCTCAGAAATGGATCTCGGCTCCGCACGTGGCAAAGCAGGCACGGACGTCGTCCCCAGGGAGGGGACAGTTGGGCAGGACGGGGCGAGCGGGTGAGCACAAAGGCACAAGGGCCTTCCCGGAGCTGCTCCGTCGCTGTTGGGTGTCAGCAAGGCACGGGAGGAGATTTGAAGAAATCAGTGTAGTAGCAGATTTTTGCACAGAATTTTCTCGCCGAAAAGTTGTGAAATTGTTGAAAAATGGGGTGATGAAATTTGTCATTGCTGGTGCAGTTGTTCGTTGGCGGCCAAGGAGAGATGGGATGAGAAAGGGCTGAAAAGGCGAGCGGCTCGTGCCCGGTGCAGGGCTGGGTGATGACGGGAGCAGGGCGCTGCCAGCCGGCGCGGCACACAGCTCCGCGCCGAATGGAGCTGTGGAATGGTGAACCGCTACCGGGAAGTTCGGTTTTGTGGGGATGGACACGAAAGGCAGATCTTGGGATTGCACAAGAGAGTCGAGTGCGAGGGAGGGAGGCCAGTGAAGGAGGGTGTGGGGTGGTGGGCACGAAGGCAGAAGGGATGTTGGCAGGAGTGGGGTGGGAAGGGGCTGGCGGGGGGGGGGGGGGGACGGGGGTCAGTTTAAGGTTCAGCCTGGTGTCGTTTGCTCTTCCTGGGGTGGAAGATGGGCGAGAGTGGGATTTGCCTGCTCCTCCTCTTGCCCTCAACCTGCCAGCTTGCCTCTCAGGGCGCGTGTCTGGCCCCCCCATCCCCACTCAGCCTGCGGGTCCCCCTCGGGCGGAGGGACGAGCATGTCCTGCTCGCTGCCCCCTTTGCTTGTTTATGGGGGGCGTTATCAAGGCTGTGCGGCCCTTTGTAAAGCTTGTGTCAGTCTCCTTTTCCACACGGGGATGGAGTTTACTTCTTGAAGCATCCTGACAGCTCCCGGAGACCCAGCCCGGTGCTCTGGCACTGGGACAGCACTGGGACCGTTGCTTTGCCGGGGGGGACGGGCAGAATCCTCTCCTGTCCGTGCCCCGCTGCCCGCCCGCCTGCCCAGCACGCCCCGTGCTGCAGCTCCCGCAGCCCCAGCCTCGGAGGGACCAGTCTTTGTTGTAACAGCCCAGCTGGTGCTATTTTGTCAGCACCGGGAGGGACAACCTGGTTGTGATTATTTTCTTTCCCGTGCGGCTGAGGTGGCGGGTGCTGCTGGGGCGAGTTGCCGGGGTGCTCTGTGTGCTTTGCTGTGCTGCTTTCTTTGGCTTATTGAGCAAGATTAGAGGCGGCTCCCTGGAGAGCAGAGCTCAGGCAGTGCTCCGCACCCCGAGGGGTGCCAGGGGGGTTTCCTGGGGGAGTTGAGATATGTGACCTGACCTTACTTGCCAGCGTGTTGGGAAACAGCGTCTCCAGCCCACTCTGCGAGACCCGAGAAGGCTGAACAGGGAAGTGAGAGTGCGAAGTGAAACAAGCATCTGTCCCGTTCCCCACTTCTCTCCCCGCGGTGTTTGTGCAGCTGCAGCGGCAGCTCTGCGAGCTCTCCTGAATAGCAAAGCTCCGTTTCTCACGTACCAGGGCTCGCGCGTCCGAAAGCCGGGACTGCAAAGAGGGATTTGTGTAACACAAGGCTTTTATTTTCGTGCTGAGGGCCTGGAGGAACAGAGCTCGCCCCCTTTCTCGGAATGCCCCGGAGTAGGAATCCACCATTTACTTCCTTCCAAGAGCCCCTGCTTTAGGGTGGTTGTTCTTAAAACATAGCGGTGCTGGTTTTGAGAGCGTATGTGTGCGTCATTCTTTCAGCTTCCGCATCCTGTGATGCTCCTACTCGGGGGCAGAGACCCGGGGCTGCGCTGGGGGGGTCCTGCTGACCCCTCCTCCGCGGTGCTGGAGATGTGGGGAGAACAGTTGGGTCCCGTCTCGTGTCCCTTGTCCCCTCTCCCGTCCCGGAGGGTGCCCGCTGGCTGCGGGGCTGTCCCGGCCGTGCGTTGCCCTTGCTCGGTGGTTACAGGCACCGTGGGGGCAGGATCCGGGGTGCCCTCCTGTCCCCGGCCGGGACCTGGGGTAACAACAGGACGCTGCGAGGAGGCGCGTGGGAGTTTATTGTCCTGTGTGTGTGGCTGTGGAGAAATCCTCAGGAAAAGCGGGGTCTTAACTGGACTGGAAGAGAAACATCCAGTGTATGTGGAAGCAGAAACTGCCCCAAACCAAGGAGGAAAACAAAATCCAAGACCAAATGCGCCCCAGCCTCCCCCAGCTCCGCTCGCCAGGGCAGAGCAGAGGGACCCTGGCGGGGCTGGGCCCCAGGAGCGGGGTCCCCGTTCCAGCTTCCTCGATTCCAGCAGGAATTGCGTTAGCTGATCCCCGAAGGCAGCTCCCTCCAGGACACCCCTGCTCCCCACTGCCCCCAGCCGAGCCCCCGGCCGGCGTCTGCTCGGGACGTGGGGCTGGCCGGGCAGGATGGGTGCTCGGCAGCGATGGACAGACAGACAGACGGGCACGGTCAGGGAGAGGAGTGGGGAAGTGGAAATCGCTCTGGTCCTTGCAAACCGGTGGGGTCCCTGTGCGGGGGTGGGGGCTCTCTGGCCCGGGATGGGGGCAGGGGCCACGGGGAGGAGGAGGAGGAGGAGGGTGGTGACAACCCGCCCTTGCACCGCGGCTGCCCGGGCGGTGGGCGATGGGGTCGGTCAGCCCGGGCCCCCCGGGAGCCTCCCGGGAAAGGGGGTCCCCGGCGGGAGGTCCCGGCCAGGCTGTGCGGGCCGGCAGCCCCCGCCCCGGCTGCTCCCTCCTCTTCCTCTTCGTCTTCCTCCCCATCCTTCCTCCCACCCCTCCTCCTCCTCCTGCCGCCACCCTCCCCCGCTCCTCGCTTTGTTTCGCTGCCTCCGCACTCCCCCTCCCCCCTCTCTTCCCCATCCTCTTCCTCCTCCTCCTCCCCCCATCCTCTTCCTCCTCCTCCCCGCCCATCCTCCTCCTCTCCATCTCCTCTCTGCCCGGTTCCACAGGGTTTCTCCCCGGCTCTGCAAGGAGCTGAAGCCACCCCCCCTTTTCTCGTCTCCCCTCTATTTCTGGTCGCCCCCACCCCCGGCTCTGCACAGCCCATCTCCCTCCATGGGGCAGGGATGCCCGAGCAGGCAGGGATGCTCAGCTGGGGCCTTCCTCCTGCCCGGGCCGGAGGGTGCTGGGGGCTGGAGGGTGCTGGGGGCTGGAGGGTGCTGGGGGCTGTGGCCGGAGGGTGCTGGAGCCACTGGTGAAGGGCCAAGCTGCTGTGCTGGGGCAGAGGCGGTTGGAGCTGGGGGACAGCAGCGTCCACACAGCCTCAGGGAGGGTCCCCTCGCCGGGGGTGTCAGACCCTGGGTCCGGGGGTGCCCAGTCCTGCACCTGGGCCCCGCACAGCGGGGGCTGAGCACGGGAGGGATGCCAAGGGGAGGGCCCGGTACCCCGGGGGCTGAGCCCCCAGGCAGCCAACCCTGCGCGGTTGGGGTCCCTCCCCTTCTCTGGCTCCCCTGTTTTCACACCAGTGGTTCCCCCGTCGCTCCCCCCATCCCCGCAGCACGGGGCCGTGCGGGCGCTGCCGTGAGAACCGCGGGGACGAAAACCTGATAAAGCGGGTTCCTGCACTCAGAGAGCGGTTGTTTAGCCCAGGATTGCCTCTTGCACGGTGCAGGTGCTCCCGGGACTGCAACATAATCCGGTTTAGAGTTTATTCCTGTTTTACCTCCCCCATAGGATTTCTCTTTGTTGTAGCTGCAGAAGTAATTATATTTAGGAGAACATTCTTCACCGCAGGAGGAAGCGGCGGCCTCCTCGCTTTCATCTGGTGGCGGCTCTCCAAGGGCTGCTGGGGGGAGGCTGCTGGGGGGCCTGTGCTGCACCCCACCCAGGGGGGTCCTGGGCTGCCTCGGCCAGGGGGAGCCGGGCACCGCTGGCTGCTCCGGGCTCTGCATCCCCCCCGGAACCCTGCCCCGTCCTCTGTGGAGCGGGTACAGGGCTGTCGGGCCCCTGGGCGCGAGCGAGCTGAGCGTGAGCGTGTTCTCAAAGTGTTGTTTTAATCCTCACAAAGCAAAATGTATAAACTACCCTCCAGCTGAAGGGAGCGTCGTGGCAGCGCCTTTCCCCAGCCTACCAGCGCGCTGCTCCGACCCCCCTGCCCCGCTGCAGCTCCCCCCACCCCTCACCTCCCTCTGTTCTGCTTTGGCCCGTGGTCCTGAGTGTCCCTCCCCAGTTTCCCAGCCTGAATCGCCAAGGAACCTGCGGCCACTGATTGGGGGGGGGGGTGGGGATGGAGGGTGAAGCAGCATCCCCAGGGCGCGGTGGGGCCTGCCCCGCTCTCCTCGGAGCCACAGCCCCTCCGTGCTTTGCTATTCCAGATTCCCGGGCTGTTTATGGCAGCAATTCCTGGGATTGCTGGCCGGTTGCCCCCGAGCTCTCCAGAAAGGGCTGGTGCTGGTGGGGCGGCGCAGGCTCTGCTCCCGGCGGCCGTTCCCGCACCAGTCACACCGTTTCGGTGGGAACGCGCCCCGTGCCCTGCTCTCCGGGCTGGTGGGGCCCCCGAGGGCACAGGGAGCTCCTGGCTTGTCCCGGGCTCAGGAGCGGAGCTGCCGTCCCCGCGGTGCCCCACGCCTGGTGCTGCCACGGACCCGGCAGCCGCCGAGTGATGCCGGCAGCGACCGCCCGTAGGCACAAGGTGAGCAGGGGGGTTTTCTGCTTGTTCATCTTTTGACTTTTGCCGCCCAAACTGCGGGCCCCGCGAGTTTGCTGCGGTCCCAACTCCGCTGCGGTCCTGCCCCTGAGCCCCGGGGCGATACGCTCCTCCCCGCGCGAGCATCGCCGCCTGTGTCGTCCGTGAGCGGTTATCTGGCTTTCTTCCTGAAAACGGATGGAACAGTCGAGTAGCACGAGGTCAGGACTGGAGCCCTGCAGGGTCCTGTCGCCAGCCCCCCCGGAGGGCGGGGGGGGGATGTGTCTCTGGGTCCCCAGAGTCGGGAGCGGGGATAAACCGGTTGTGGCCCGTTCGCCATGTGCCCCGGGGTGGGGGTGGGTCGTCCCGCTCTGCCCCCGTCCGTGTCCGGCGCCTCTTCCTTGTGTAACTGGGGCACGCAGCACCCACCACCCCAGCGCTGATGTGGGGCACCTTGGAGAGGGGGGGCAAAGGGAGAGGGCTCTGAAACCTTCACAGCCTGGGGGGGCACTGGCTGCTGCGCGTCTGTTTGCACCGCGGTGCTGGAGAACCACGGCTCTACAGGGATTTTAGCTAGAAGAGGATCATGGAATAGTTTGGGTTGGAAGGGGCCTGAAAGCTCACCTTGTTCCAGCTACCTGACCAGTTCAGGGCTGGCCAAGCTAAAGCGTGTTGTTAAGAGCGTTGTCCAAATGCCTCTTAAACACTGAAAAATAGAAACAAACCCCTTCTAAAACCTAGAGAAATACTGCTGGAACCTGGCATGCTTATTGCTGGGACGAAACAGCGCTGCTGGAAGGTGTTAATAAAAGCAAAAAAGGGGAGAGGAGGCGATGAGGGGGCTGTGAGACGAGAGGGCTGGGCCAGGCTGGGAAGGTCGGAGCAGCGGGGGGGCTCATGGGGCGCCGGCACAGCCTGCCCCGGGCCAGCATGCCCAGACCCCGCTGCCTCCCGCGCTGCAGCGATGCTCGGGGCCCCCCAGGTGAGTGTGCTGGGGGGCTCTGGGGCACGGCGAGGAGCCAGACCTCAGCCTCGGGGTTCCATAGCCCCCCCAGAAAGGCCAACAGCGGACACGGAGCCGAGCTTCCCCTCCGCAGCCTGGTGTTCTCCCCCCCCCCCCAGCTGAGACCCCCGAGGCCACGCTGCCTCCACGTCCTGGGGCGCGTGGTGCTGGGGACCCACTCTGGCAGCGCCTGCGTCGGTCTGGGGGTTGCTGGGGATGGTGACAAGGACGGGGGTGATGGCTGGAAGCCCACCCCCCCCGCAGTGTGGCATCCCCCGTGGGGAAACGGGGAGGGCTAACGGCCGTGTCTCTCCCTCCCCAGCCATGACAGCGTAGGCAGGCGGCAAGAGATGGATCGCTTCACCGAGTGCGGGACCCAGACGGACGCGGTGGTGGTGCTGTCCCTGGCGCAGGCGGCGGTTCTGGGCTTGGTGTCCGAGAATGAGCTGCTCGGGGCCACCGTCAGCCCCGCCGGCTTCTTCCCGGGGCTGGGAGGGGAGCTGCCGGACCCCGCCGCGGCGGAGCCCGGGGAGCCGGAGGGCGAGAGCCGGCTGGAGGGCGAGGGGCAGGCGCCGGGGGACGGGCAGGAGGAGGACGCCTTGGAGGCAGAGTCCTCCCTGGAGAAGCACGCCCGGAGGAGGAAGCGGCCTCCGGTGAGGCTGGTGCCCAAGGTCAAGTGCGAGAAGGCAGAGGACGAGGCGCCGGACGAGGCGTCCGTCCCCGCGGACGAGGAGGGCGAGCGGCAGCGCGGCCGCCCGCCCCAGGACCCCGGCCAGGAGCCGGCGGTGCAGAGCAGCGCCGTGAAGATGATCGACCTCGGCGCCTTCGGCAGGAAGCCCCGGCGCCTCCGGCACCTCCGCCGGCACGCGCGCCAGGAACCGGGGGGCACCCAGCGTCGCCCCAGCAGCACCGACCCCCCCGGCGCGGCGGGGGGAGGCACCGCGGGGACCCTGCGGACCGAGTGCGCCTTCGAGGCGGGCACCCCGTCCCCCGGAGAGGCCGAGGCCCCAGCGCCGGCGTCCCCCGAGCAGGTGAAGAGCGAGCAGGGCTTCTCCTGGCAGGAGCCGGGGGAGCTGGAGGCGGAGGCGGGGGGGGCCACCAGCGAGCGCAACAAGAAGGCGCAGCTGGACCGGCTGGACATCAACGTGCAGATCGACGACTCCTACCTGGTGGAAGCCGGGGACCGCCAGAAGCGCTGGCAGTGCCGCATGTGCGAGAAGTCCTACACGTCCAAGTACAACCTGGTGACCCACATCCTGGGCCACAACGGCATCAAGCCCCACTCCTGCCCGCACTGCAACAAGCTCTTCAAGCAGCCCAGCCACCTGCAGACCCACTTGCTGACCCACCAGGGCACGCGGCCCCACAAGTGCGAGGTGTGCAGCAAGGCGTTCACCCAGACCAGCCACCTGAAGCGGCACATGCTGCTGCACACCGACATCAAGCCCTACAGCTGCCGCTTCTGCGGCCGGGGCTTCGCCTACCCCAGCGAGCTGAAGGCGCACGAGGTGAAGCACGAGAGCGGCCGCTGCCACGTCTGCGTGGAGTGCGGGCTGGACTTCTCCACGCTCACCCAGCTGAAGCGGCACCTCTCCACGCACCAGGGCCCCACGCTGTACCAGTGCCTGGAGTGCAGCAAGTCCTTCCACTACCGCAGCCAGCTGCAGAACCACATGCTGAAGCACCAGAACGTCCGGCCCTTCGTCTGCACCGAGTGCGGGATGGAGTTCAGCCAGATCCACCACCTCAAGCAGCACTCCCTCACGCACAAGGTAGGGACCGGGGTGCCTCGGGCGCTTGAGGGGCGCTGCCCTTGCCGTGCCTGGAGGAGGTGTGCCGGCCCTGGGGGAGAGGGGTGTCCCAGTGCCCCGGAGCCCCGGCCGGCCGCGGGGGACGGGCGGGTCGTTGATCGGCAGCAAAGGGGCATCGCTATGGGCAGGGACCCTGGGGCTGCCCAGCCTGCAGAATTCCTGGGGGTTTCCATCCTCAGGGAGCGGGGGGTCCCCGCTTTGCGCCCTGCCCAGCACCGCTCCCGCGGGGTCTGTTCAGAGACACCTGGCAGTGCAGGCGGGGCTCTGCCCCGTGCTCACGGCTCTCCGAACCCCTCGCAGGGTGTGAAGGAGTTCAAGTGCGAGGTGTGCGGGCGGGAGTTCACCCTCCAGGCCAACATGAAGCGGCACATGCTGATCCACACCAGCGTCCGTCCCTACCAGTGTCACATCTGCTTCAAGACGTTTGTGCAGAAGCAGACGCTCAAGACCCACATGATTGTGCACTCACCGGTGAAGCCATTCAAATGCAAGGTACCGGTGGGGACCCGGGGGGGGGGGGGGGTGTCTGGCAGATCTGGGGAGGGGGTTAGCGCAGGCCCTGGTGCGCTGCGCTCCCGGAGAAACTCGGCCAGGCTGGGCTGAGTCCTCGGTCACACGAAAGCAGTTTTGTGATGCCTCCCTCTGTTCGCTCGGGCAAACAGCTCGTCCCGATGCTCAGAGCTGCGCGGTGGGGAGCAGCCGCTGCGGGCACCGCTAACGGAGGGGGACGATTAGTGCCCCTCTGCCCAGCGCCGGGCGTGCTGGAGTTCCCAGCAATACCAGCACAGCATCCTTGAGGCCTCCCTCCGCAGTGGGGGGGGGGGGTAGAGAAGCAGCCCCATTACTCTTGGAGGTTGGTGGGAGCACGGGGGGACCCCGGGGGTGATGTCTGCTCTGAAAAGCCCACGCCCCTACGGCAGCACCGGCCGTCGCAGGCGAGTGCCTGCTGCTGTCCCCCTTGGCTGGGGGGGCAGCGGGAGGGCCCCCACTGACCCCAGGGACGCTGCCGGCAGGTCTGCGGGAAATCCTTCAACCGCATGTACAACCTCCTGGGCCACATGCACCTGCACGCGGGGAGCAAGCCCTTCAAGTGTCCCTACTGCTCCAGCAAGTTCAACCTCAAGGGCAACCTGAGCCGGCACATGAAGGTCAAGCACGGGGTGATGGACATCAGCCTGGACAGCCAAGGTAGGCACGGGCTGCGGCCGGTCCCTGGCGTTGCTGGTCCCAGCCCGGGTGCTGTGGTTTGCCTGGCTCGCGGCTGTCTGTGTTGGGAGCTGGGCTGTGCCACAGCGGCTCCAGCCACCTCCCGCCCCGTCGCCCTCCTCGGCTTGCTCGTCCTGCCGGCACCGCGGGGTGTTCCCCAGCCTCCCCTCCAACCTCAGGCACCCGTCCTCCCACGGGGGCCGTGGAAAGGTACCGGGCGGGAGCTGAGTAAGCTTAATAAACTTGGTACAAATACAGGTAAATAACCTTCATAATAAAATAATCGTAGAATCCCAGGTTGGAAGGGACCTCAGGGATCGGCTGGCCCAACCTTTCTGGCAAAGCCCGGTCTGGACAAGCTGGCCCAGCCCCCCCGTCCAGCTGGATCTTCAAAGTGCCCAGTGCTGGGGAATCCGCCGCTTCGCTTCCCGGGGGAGGTGATCCCAGCGGCTGAGTGTTCTCATGGCGATGATAACAAATAGCCCCTCAAGGAGCCGTTGAGGCTTCAGCATCCCCGGAGGGGACGGTGCCCTCTGGTGACGCCGTGACTGCGACTTTGGTCAAAGGGTTTGGTGGGGTGGGAGGGGGCGATGCTGCTGGTTTTGCCCCGGCTGCCCCCTCTGCAGCTGCCCCCGGGGGGGGGGGTGGGGGACGGGCAAGGCTCCCGCTGTGGGTTTGTGCGCAGTGTCAGCGCCGATGCCCATCGGCACTCTTGCGGCACGACCACCCGTGCCTCCTCGGACGGACGGAGCTGGAGACAAGCTCTGGCTGTTGCACCCCCCTCGAGTTCCCCAGCACTTGATGCCCACCTCGACCGCGTCCTGGGGGGACCCGGCAGGATCCCCCTTTCCTGCCCTTTTCCTCCCCACCTCGCACAGCTGCCAGCCCGGCGGAGCCGCAGCCGGTGCCCAGCACCGCGGTGCGACGGGGGCTGCAGACCCCGGCGTGTGGGTCGGGCGCCGGAGCTTTGGGCTCTAAACCCCATCTCCGGGGAGGAGGGGTGCCGTTGGCTGCGGGGCCGTCAGCGGGTATCCCTGTGCTGAACCCTAGATCCCATGATGGACCTGGCCGGGGCCGACCACGCCGAGCTGGACGGGCAGCAGGAGATGGACGACTTCGAGGAGGAGAACTCTTACGGCTACGGGGGGGCAGGCAACCCTCCGGATGAGCACGGCCTGACCGAGCAGGCCATGAAGGAGATGGCGTACTACAACATGTTGTAGCCGAGGCCGGAGGAGGCTGCTGGGGGCCTGCGTGGGCTTTGCGTGGGAAGAGGAGCCGCTGCCGGTGGGCTGCGGCACCCAGCCAGACTCGCACCCCCGGAGCTGGGGAGGGGGGGGGGCTCCAGCTGAGCTTGGTGAAGGAGAAAACAGGGATGCCCAAAAGCCTTTGCCGGGGTGAAGGCAGGAGCGGAGGCTGGAGGCAGCCTCGGCGGAGCTCTCGCCAGGGCTGGGGTGCTCCCCTCCTTCCCTCCCCCCCCCCCCCCCAACCCCAGAGCCGGCCCGGCGCTGACCTCCCTCGGCTCTGCTCCTGCCTGCCCCACGGCGCGGGGGCAAGCCGGGACCTTGCCTGGCCCCCAGCTGCAGGCAGGGGAAGGCACGTCCCAGAAGATGATGAGCATTACTAATTATTCTACCTCCTGGGTCCTCCCGCACGGCTGCGCTGGGGCTGCAGCCCGGCCAGCCCCCCCGCCCCCCCCCCCCCAGCTCCCAGCACCCCGGGGGCAGAAGCCCCTCTGCCCGCGGGAGGAGGGGGGGTTGCATTTCGTGCTCTTCCCCCTCTCCGGCACCGGCTGCGAGCTGGCACGGGCAGCGCTGCGGCGACCTGCGCGAGGCCACGGGGCACATACAAAACAGAATATTTTCTTACAAACTAATGGCAAAGCTCAGAGGAAGCAGCAGCTCTGGGTATAGAGCGGCTGCAGTGAGCCGTGTATTTAAAGGAAGGCAAACCCTGTTCAACTTGAGCAAATGATGGTATTTTGAAAGTAATTTATTTTTTTCAGACGTGCCGCGTGGTTGGATTTATCTTTTCACCGAGTTCAGTTTCCTTCAACCAATGTGCTTTGTAAACCTGTGTAACGTGTGTGGTCTGTGCGCGGGGGGCTGCGATGGTGCTCGGGGTGGGTCCCACCGCCCATGGGGCAGCTGAGCAAAGGCAGGGCCCCCATAATGAACCCCAGCCACGCTCTGCACCCCTCCTCACCCCCCACCCCCCCCGCCGAGCTGCTCCGGGGCTCAGGAAAAGGCTTTTGCTCGGGTAGCACGGCCCTGGGGATGGGGGTTTGTCTCCTCTGCTTCCTGGTGTTGGGGTGGGGTGGGGGAAAACGAGCTGGGGCAGCACCAGCTCTGGGACCACCCTCCTGGCTCTCCCTGCTGTGGGGTGGGGGGCCGCCTAGCACCCCCAGCATCGCTCCCCCCAGTGTGCCCAGTGCCAGGCAGGGTCCCCGCAGGCACCAATACCTCTGGGGGGGGGGGGGCACAGCAGGGGCAGGACCTGGGCTCCAGCAAGGGCACTGGGACCCCCAAGCCCCCCCACCTTTGCACACACCATCTGCCCCAGCCCAAAAGCCCCAGGCTGACTCACCCACCCCCCACCCCCCCCCCAAATTCCCCCAGCCTTGGGGCAGGATGGAGACAGCCACAGCGCCGGCCAGCCCCGACCCCCCCCCCCCCTTTCCACACCCCCCCACGCTACCTCAGTCCTGTTACCAAAAAGCTGTGACGTGGGGGGGCACAGGCTGGCGAGGCCAAGCCGAGGGGGTCCGTGCTGCTGCCAGGGGGTGGCACCGGGCTTCGCCAAGCGGGGGGCTCGTGCCGGTGGCCCAGCTGGTCCCAGCAGCTCCCTGGTGCCCCCCCCCTCGCATACAGAGAGCGTTCAGCCACCCCTGCTGCAAAGTCCTCCTGTGGTTTGGTTATTTTTTTATCTCCTCAGTTTGTTTAGCAATAATTCTAATAAATGCATATTCTTCAGCCGCTGGCTGCCTCCTGCGGCCGGCACCCCCCCGCCCCGCGCCCACCCCACGAGAGCCGTGCCACCACGCGCCGTGGGCCGGTGAGGTGTTTAATGGCTGCTGGCACCGCGCGCTGGGAGGGTACACGGGTCATTGTGGGACAGGCCCCCCCCCAGACCCCCCCTCCCAGTCCTACACACCGCTGCTAGGAAGGCTTTAAAAACACTCGTAAGAAAACTGCTTATAAAAATTATTCAACTGTTCCTGAGCCATGTTGGTGAGCTGGAGGTGGCGCCGGGTCCCCGTCCGTCTGGGTGACAGCGGGGCGGGGGCCGGGTGCCCCCCTCCCCAACCCCCCCTTACTGCTTGCCCAGGGCCTTGTCCAGGTTGTTCTTGATGGCGTCCAGGAAGTCGGTGGTGTTCACAAAGTGCTCGTTCAGCTTCACGCTGCGGGGGACAGAGAGGGGCTGGAGGGGTCCCACGGCTGGGGAGGGGGTGTCCCTGCCCGCCCCCCCCCCCCACCGCAGGCAGCAGCCAGCCCGTCTGGGGCGGCAGCACGGATGTGGGATGTGGGACATGGGATGTGGGTCGCCGGCACAGCCGGACCCCCACCAGCCTTCAACAGACGCCCTGGGACCGCCTGTGACCCCCCACCTCCCCCGGGGGCCAGCCCGCTTTCGGGGTGAGCCGCGCGTACTTGGCGAGGCCGTGGATGCAGCCGGCGAGGTCCTTCGTCATCGTCCCGCTCTCCACGGTTTCAACGCAGACCTTCTCCAGCGTCTGGGCAAACCTGGGGGGGGACACGGCGGCAGCGCCCGCGGCTCCAGCAAAGCCGGCACCCCCCGTGCCGCCGGACCCCACCGCGGCTGGGACCGGGGCGGCTGCCGGCAGCATCCCCCCCCCTCCCCGGCGCAGCCCGCTCACTTCATCAGGTCGGGGTTACTGTCCAGCTTGCCCCGGTGCTCCAAGCCGCGCGTCCAGGCGAAGATGCTGGCGATGGGGTTGGTGCTGGTGGGTCGTCCCTGCACGGAGAGGGGGCTCAGCCGCCGGGCGCGGGCAGCCCGGAGCGGGCAGCTCGCCGCGGGCAGCTCGCCCCCACCTTCTGGTGCTCCCGGTAGTGGCGGGTGACGGTGCCGTGGGCCGCCTCGGCCTCGATGGTCTTCCCGTCCGGACACACCAGCACGGAGGTCATCAGCCCCAGGGAGCCGAAGCCTGCGGCGGGGCGGGGGTCAGGGCGAGCCCACGGCACCCCGCAGCGCCCCCCCTTCCCCCGCCGCCCCACCTTGGGCCAGGATGTCCGACTGGACGTCCCCGTCGTAGTTCTTGCACGCCCAGACGAAGCCGCCGGAGGATTTCAGCACCTGGGCGACCATGTCGTCGATGAGCCGGTGCTCGTACCAGATCTTCAGCTTGTCGAACTCCGTCTTGTAGTGCCTGGGAGCCCGGGGTGGGTGTCAGCCGTGCCGGGCCATGCCCACCCCAGCCCGGGTCCCACAGCCAACCCCTGGGCAACAGCCCCCCTGCTCGGGGGTCAGCCAGCCCCCCCCCCGGGGCAGCCCGAACGCCCTCGAGCCCGTACTTATCGAAGATCTCCTGGAAGATGTCCTTGAAGCGCCCGTCGTAGGCTTTGAGGATGGTGTTCTTGGTGCTCATGTAGAGAGGCCACTTCTTCTGGATGGCGTACTGGAAGCAGCTGTGGGCGAAGCCCGAGATGGACTGCAAGGGAAGCACACGGACCCCCGTGGGACCCCCGGCCCACCAGCCCGGCTGGGCATCCCCACAGGGACCCCGCCGGCTGCCCCCCGGCATCCCCCGTCACCTCGTCCGTGTTGTACATGCCCATGCCCACGCCGCCGCCGGGGAAGTTGTACACCTCCCACTCCTTGGCCCCGCTGCCGTCCTTCGGCGTGAAGACCATCTTGAACGTCCCGGATTTGCCCACCACGAAGTCGGTGGCTTTGTACTGCGAGGGGCAGGGCAGAGCGTGGGGCAGGGTCCGGCCGGGGCTGCCGCACACCCCCCGCCCCGCGCCGGGCTCACCTGGTCGCCGTGGGCGTGCCTGCCGATGGTGATGGGCTTGGTCCAGCCCGGCACCAGGCGGGGGATGTTCTTGCAGATGATGGGCTCTCGGAAGACCGTCCCCCCCAGGATGTTTCGGATGGTGCCGTTGGGGCTCTTCCACATCTTCTTCAGCTTGAACTCTGGGGTGCGCGGAGGTGAGGCCCCTGAGGGACCCCCCCCACCACCACCGGGCATAGCGCCGGCGGTCACACCCCAGCCCAGCACCCAGCCCCTGCCAGCCCCCCCAGTCCCTGCCAGCCCCCCCAGCCTCCGCCAGCCCCCCCAGCCTCTGCCAGCCCCCCCAGTCCCTGGCTCCTCCGTGCCGTGGGCTGCTGCGGCAGCCCCGCTGTCACGACAGCCGACGCGGGCACCGTCGGTGTGGGGCGAGCCGGGCCGGGGCGGGGGACACAGCACTGAGACCAGGGCCCTCAGCCCAGAAACCCAGCAGAAACCCAGAAGCCAGCGAGGGAGGCATCTGGCTGATCCAGAGGGGCCGGGCACACAGGGGGGGGTTCAGCACCCACCCCCCTTGGCAGTGGGAGCTTGGCCCCTCGCCCCCTGCCCACCTTCCACCCTGGCTTCGTCCGGCGTGATGGTGGCACACTTCACGGCCACGCTGTACTTCTGGGTGGCCAGCGCCGAGTCGATGGTGACCTGGTCGTCTGTCTTGTCCCGGTGCGGCAGGCCCAGGTCGAAATACTTCAGCTGGACGTCCACGTTGGGCAGGATGAGCTGGGGGGGCCCAGGAGAGCATCAGAGGCCGGGGGGGGGGGACACACACGGTGTGGGGGTACCCGGCGCACAGCCCCGTGCACGGTGGCACAGCCAGCCCTTTCCCCGCCCCCCCCAGCCCGGGACAGTCCCCCCCCCCCCCGCCTCCCGGGACCTCCTCGCTTCCAGGTCCTGCCGGAAGCCACGCAGATCTCACCACCTGCTTCCTGCGGACGGACTGACGGAGGACGGACAGACGGACGGGGAGGGCGGTGCGCAGGGACTGCCCGTCCCCGGTACAACGTCTGCCCGTCTCCCCCCCGTGCAGCACCCGCCAGCTCCAGCCGTGCGACACCCGGGCAGGACCCCCCCCCCCCCTCACCTTGTCCTTGATGAAGGCCCAGATGATCCGCGTCATCTCGTCTCCGTCCATCTCCACCACCGGGTTGGCCACCTTGATCCGCTTGTCGGCATCTGGGGAGCGGCGGTGTGGCGTTAGGGGCGCACGCCGGCACCGGCCCCACAGCCCCGCACCCCCGTGGGGGGGGCCCGGAGTCATCCTGGGGGGCCCCGGCAGGGTTTGGGTGCCACCCCTGCTCAGGGCTGGGTGCCGGTCAGGGTGCAAACCCCCGTGGGGTCTGGGCCCGCTCGCGGCGTCAACCCCGCTTAGGGCTGGGCTTGGGTGCAGGTCAGGGTGCAAAACCCCACGTGGGAGCGGGACTGGGTGCACCCCCCCTCTCGGGGCAGGACCTGGGTGCAAACTGGGCAGCGAAGCCCCACGTGAGACCAGGACCAGGACCGGGTGCAAACCGCTCTGGGGTCAGACCCAGGTACAAACTGGAGTGCAAAACCCTGCCCGGGACTGGGACCACGAGCAAACCCCTCTCGGGGCTGGACCTGGGCGCAAGCTGGGGTGCCAATCCCTGCGTGGGACCTGGACCTGGAGTAAACCCCTCTGGGTGCCAAGCCTGGCTGCAGGTCGGGCCAAAAAAACCCCCACGTGGGACCGGAACCAGAGGCAAACCCCACCGGAGCGGGACCCCGGTGCAGCTGGGCTGCAAAACCCTACGTGGGGCTGGGACTGGGAGCAGGAGCGAACCCTTCTGGGGCCAAGCCGGGCTGCAGATTGGGCGGCAAAACCCCACGTGAGACCGCGACCAGGAACCAGCCCCTCCAGGGTCAAAGCGGGTACGAACCGGGCTGCAAAACCCCACGTGGAGCCGGGAGCAGGAGCCAAACCCTTCGGGGAGAAGGGGGGGGGGGGGCGCAAACGTGGCAGCGGGTCGGGCGGCAAAACCCCCCGTGGGTCCGTGACCGGTAGCAAACCTTCCCCACCCCCCACCCTCC